TCGAGAAGGCCTTGGCAGGGCGCATTGACATCACGTGCAACTACGAGGTGAAGCAGTTCCTGGGCCTTAACATCTCCTATGCTCCTGAGGCCATTCACCTTTCAGCGGCTAAGTATGCAGAGGAGTTAGGGAAGCGGTTCAACATTTCACCGGCATCTCTCTCAACTCCCTATCGCACCCCCGGACCGAACCACAAACCTGACAACAAAGCCTTATCCCCTGCTGGGATTCAGACTTACCAGCAGCAGTTGGGATGTCTTCTCTTCGCCTCTGTCACCTGCAGACCAGATCTGTCCTACATCGCGAGTCAGCTCGCGCAGTACTCACGGAAACCAACGGCTGAGAATCTCCTGGACCTGCAGCGTGCCCTTCAGTTCTTTGTTTCAACGCCCAAGATTGGGCTATGCTACTCAACTGTGCCGACTCCATCTTTCAACCTCATCGGCTACGTGGACGCCGATCACGCAGCAGACCCCGACAATCGACGGTCCAGGACCGGCTTCCTGTTCCGACTCGAGCCATCGGGACCAATCTCCTGGAATTCACAGAAGCAGGAATTGGTTGCCCTGTCGTCAGCCGAAGCGGAATTCATCGCAGCAACCGCAGCAGTTCGCGAAGGCCTCTACCTGCAGGAGCTTCTGCAAGAAGCGAAAATTCCAACTTCGCCAACCTTCCGCCTTCACTGCGACAACCAGAGCGCAATTCGCATCGCGAACAAACCTGGTTTCGTCAACCGCACCAAGCACATCGCGCTGCGGTACTTCTTCGTGAAGGACGAGGTGGACAAAGGCAAGGTCAACTTAACCTACTGCCCGACCGGTGACATGGCAGCAGACTTCCTCACGAAGCGACTGCCACGCCAGCAGTATCAGCACTGCTCCGAACTCAGCGGTGTGGTCAAGCAGGTCAAGTCGAGCTACGGCCAGGAGTGAAGGGGGGTGTTACGAATAGTAATACTTGATATTACTGTGCACTCCTCACCGCAGCAAAGAGGCATGCAGTATCGAGAACGAATGCGAGGAGTCAGAGTTGACTCGAAGCGTCAGACGGTTAGGGTGGATCTAGACCGTCGGAGAAAAACGGCATCGGGCAGCTGCAGGGACAATGAATCTGGCGGGAACAGTTTCGTAACTGTTCGGGCCGCACGGTTGGTTTGAATTCGAATAAGGGAATGTACCCCTTAGAGTACATGGCTAGCTAGGTCGCTTCGTATTCCCCTGTACTCATATTTATATCGTTGTATTTGCATGTTTTATTCATCTCAAAGCATTTTACATTCACTCTGCTATTGAGGTCAAGGGCCCACCAAACTATCTCACTGCGTGCGAACCTTCCTGGGTAGATCCTGGGCTACGATCAACTTCTGATCTCAGCACCCGGTACATACACCTTCTCCACCATCCGATGCTCAACCTGCCCACGTCACAATCTGTGGTCAAGGTAACGGGTGTAACCCATGCCAAATTTCTCGGGTTAATCCATGCCATGAACGTGCATTTCGCTACCCTCGCCGAAAGCTAAACCAACTTCTCGTACCCAAACTAACTTCGCGATCCCCATAAAGACTTGAAGAAATTCACTCGACACCAATATCACCACACCTCTGAGGCTAGCCATGCCTCGTCTTTACCACTGTACTCAGCTAGCAATTCCTATCAAGCGGGCTATCTGTGCCCACCATGTCGCCAACCCCCAGCTCCGCCACGTCGACTTGTCGCGCTGGTGTTTTACCCGTTTCGGCATCAGGCCTGACCGTTCGACGATCGGCCGCGTGATTAAAGGCGCGGAGCGATGGGCCGTGAACACAACGAACAACAACATCGTGCGTGTGCGTGGCGGCGCACACCCCGCACTTGAGCGCGCCATGGCCGCATGGATCGCCAATGCGGGGCCGGCAGGCGTTCCCCTCACGCTCGCAACCATTCGCGACCACGTCGCAAATATGGCGCGCGACATGAACGATGTCCCGGCGGCCTTTCGGTGCTCGATCGGTTGGGTGCGCCGTGCGTTGCGTCGCCAGGGCGTCCGCTGCCTGAGCGCCGTCGGAGAGTCCGCTGACCAGGACATGGCCGCTGTGCGGACGACCCGGGAGAAGCTCCCCCAGCTGCTGATGTATCTCTCGGTTTCGGCACGGGACACGTACAACTTCGACGAAACCGCACTCTACATCTCGGTGTTGCCCCGTAAGACGTACGGCAATCGCGGTGTGGCGGGTCGGAAGATTCCGAAAGACCGTCTTACCGTGGGCTTTGTCGTCAACGCGGACGGCTCCCATTCGTTCCGTCCCTTGGTGATCTCGAAGGCCAAGAGGCCCCACGACTTCCGGCCTGACTACAACCCGGACGAGGTGTGCTACTGGTGCTCGTCGGCTAAGGGCTGGATGACGAAGGAGGTATGTCCCGCAACCCCATCATCAAGGGGCGGATGGAGCGCGCAAGTCCGCCCATCAATCTGAACGCAACCCCACCTCCCGCCTTGCTCCTAGGCGCTACCACGGCGGGTGATACCCCTCGTCGCCGTGGGCGTGTGCTCCCTGCGTGGATGACGGAGCCGACCCCGAGGTGGGTGACCCTGGCACAGCAGGCGGCTCGCCGCCAGGAGCTCATTGACGGCGGTGCGCCCGCTGTCATGGGCGGCTTTGTGGATGCGGCAGAGTGGATGAGGCTGTGAAAGGTGTTGGTTACCATGCGATTTTGTTTGGTGGGAAAATGTGCGTAACTCGTGCACATTCACCTCAGTTCGGTGCAATGGGTTGAACATTGCAAGTGAGACAGATGGGGCTTGTTTATTGGCGGGGGTGGGAGTGTTTTTGTTGCTGGGTGGGGTTGGGTTGTTGTTTGTGATGAGATGGGAGATGTTGTGTAATGGGATCGAAAGATGAAATGGAAAAGCAGTGGTTACGGGGTCCACCAACATATAACAAGGGAGTCCGCCCTGTACTTTGCAAGAAAAAACAAACGTGAAACAACCAGTGTTATATATAAGCACCTCCTCGCTTGGGCGAAACATGTCGAACTGGGCGAAATGCCAAAATCACTTACAAGCCCAGAGCTTCATCCGACCATGGGGGACTATAACAGGCATTAGGTGTACATGAGAGAGGAGATGTGCAGCTAGCACTTCCAGGCGCGAAATTTAGAAGGAAACGGTTTACAGCGGTACTGTGATAGTCCAGTAACAGCAAGAATGGTCGGTTTGTCAGACACCGAACCATCTTCCATGTGGCAGTTGCACGCGTGAAACGGCTTCTAAGTTTACTCGTTATAGTATCGGCGCCTTCGACCAAAACTAAACCATTTTCCTTCGGCAGACTCTCGACTCCAAGCCTCGGTTCTTTGGCTGAATGGTAGTAGTCGTTACTTTCCCTTACGTGATGGGATGGTGCTATCGGTTACAGCGGAATACTGCCTCACAGTCTGGGTCTACCAGAACAGAATATGTCACTATGGCGGTAGTGGTTCTGCCGATCCGGCACCTCCGCTGCCGATCACCCCCCGCCGCCGATGCTTCAAGAATGGAGCCAGGGTAGTGATGCTGCTGATCTCCCATCGCTCCTTGCCTCGGCATGCGGCGGAACAGTGCTTGGTGCCCCTTAGCAGCAGCAAGTTTGCTCAGCGAAAAGGCTCATCGAAGCAAGCTGCTGCTGGGACGTTTTGCGGTTGAACTGCCGCCCAGCCAGTAGGCGACGGACTGGCGAAAACTGTTCGGAGTAACTAGCATTTTTCGCGAGTATGCGACCGTCGCGAACGGTCACTTTTCCTTAAACGACGGGATGGTGCTATCTGTTACAGTGGAATTCTGTACAGGCTATGTCTACAGTTCAGAAATATGATACAGTAGTAACATATGACAGTAGTTTTGCTGCCGAACCCTCGCCGCTGCAGAACCCGAAGCATGGAGCCAGGGTAGTGATGCTGCCGAACCCTCCTCCCCCCCCCTCGTCGCTTCTTGAGTCGTTATGCGGAACAGTGCTTGCTGCCTCTTACTAGCAGCAGCGAGTTTGCTCAGTCAAAAGGCTTGTCCGAATAAGCTGCTGCTGCGACTTTTTGCGGCTGAAACAGCTGCTCAGCCAATAGGCGATAGCCTGGCGAAGACTCGTCGGAGTAACCGGCTGGTTTGTTTACGAATATGCGAACGTCGCGAACGGATTCTGCTGGCATTGTTGCTGCTGGGCATGACGCGACGCGACAGCACGCGCCGGGCCAACAATTGCTTCACGAGACCTCGCATAATAACGTCGCGAACGGATTGTGGCATTGTTGCTGCCGGAGCGTCATGTTATGCTCCGGGCCGTCGCGCCGGGCCGTCAATCGCTTGACGAGACCCTCGCCTACAGTAATCAAATTTTGAGGCGCCTCAATTTTCCTGGCCGTCAATCCCTTGACGAGAGACCCTCGCCAAATCGCGTCGCGTATTGCCGGATTTCTGAGTCTATCGTTCTTCCTGCACCAGGCGTTGCCACGAGCGGGCACTGTCGGGCGGAGGCCGCGATGGATTGGCATAAAAGCGAGCCGTTGCCTAGTGATGCTTTATGGTGCGTCACGTTGTTGGTATCATTGACTCTGCCAATTGTCGCCCGGAGCAGCACTTGCCTCTACTTTCGAGTCTCAAGTCTCATCGCATCTCGAGTTTCGTTTCGAGTCTCAAGTGAGTCCAATTATCACAGCCAGAGAACCACACGCGTCGGATTGGAATCTCCACGCGCTACTACCACCGCCCATCGAACACGGCGAGGGCAAGAAGCGTCAACCGCAACAGTGTGACTCGTCAAAAGGCTATGGCGGCAATGACGACGAGAGGAGGCAACGGAATATCTGAAGTTGTTCTTCACGGCGTCTTCCTGCTCGTGCTCGTCATTCCGGCAGGTCAGTCGGAGTGTAATATTTTCATCGTTTTGTATTTACTGCATTATCTATAATCGTTGTCCTTGCTAACTGTTGTCTTGCACCTCCCCCCGTTCAACCTTAACCCTTTCCACGTGGTGTGGCAGCAGTGGTGGCTCAAACCGCCTCCGCTCCTCCTCCTCCGGGTGTTTCCTCCGCACCTCCTCCTCCGGGTGATGGCTCCCCGCTGCCTTCACCAGGTGGTGCCTCCCCTCCCCCCCCTCCTGCCAATGCTACTTCATCGCCCCCACCTCCCCCAGACAAGGCCTCCTCGCCACCTCCTCCGGGTGTTGCATCCCCTCCCCCTCCTCCTGCCCCTGCCACTTCATCGCCCCCGCCTCCCCCAGACATGGCCTCCCCACCCCCCCCTCCTGCGCCTGTCACATCGTCTCCCCCACCTCCCCCAGATTCAGCCTCCCCACCCCCTCCTCCTGCGCCTGCCACGTCATCTCCCCCACCTCCCCCAGATACAGCCTCTCCACCCCCTCCTCCTGCGCCTGCCACATCATCTCCCCCACCTCCTGACTGCATCCCCAGGAGCCGCCCCTGCCCCTGGATATGTGACAATAATGGGGTGAATCAGCCATGCCGGTTCAAACGGGTGTGTGCAGATGACGAGGTGTGCATCCCCTATGTTAGCAGCTGCGAAGGGTACAAGTGTGTGAGACTGTTTCATTGAGGGAATTGATAAGCTCGCCCGCTCAATAAGGTGCAGATGAGATACGAATAGCAACAGGCGAGTGGTGCTACTGGTGAACCCAATGATCTCAAGTGCATAAAGTGGTTCTGCCTGGTTAGTGAGGAGAATCAGTACGGTATGGACATTATGAGCATTCCCCTGCAAGCAATGGATTTCCTTGTCAGAATATATTTCACATATATTTTCGTACAACTGCATGTAGTTCCATTGTAGTGTAGTTACTCTACTTCCAATCAGGCCCCTACATGTCAGAATGTTATGTTTGTCTAGCCTGCAGTGGGATACTCTATAGTGAGTACAACCCAAACTAGGGTTTCCTATATGTATCCTACCTACTGCTAGTGAAACCCCTCTTTGCCTATTTCTCGTTTTCGCCTACTATCTTGACATGCTATCAGAGCAGGTCGACCCTCCTGGGTCGATCCTGTGGGTGGGCCCACCCGATGCTTCCGCTGCTGTTCTGCTTCTCGCGCGCCTCGGGCGCGTGACGTTTTCAGCCTGCCGCGTTTTTAGGGTTTCTACGATTTTCTGCTCGCCGCGCGCTCCGAAAGCTCGGCGGTTTTCTGCCCGCTGTGCGCCCCGAGGCGCGCGGCGGTTTCCCACCGTCGAAGCGCCCCCCGTCGCCCGTCGAAGCGCCCCCCCCCCCCCCCCCCCCCCCCGTCGCCCGTCGAAGCGCCCCCGTCGCCCGTCGAAACGCCTCCGTCGCCCGTCGAAGCGCCCCTCGGCCCCGCGCGGGCCGCGCGCGGCCCGTACGACCTGCGCCAGGCCCGCGCGCGGCCCGTACGGGCTGCGCCAGGCCCGCGCGCGGCCCGTACGGGCTGCGCCAGGCCCGCGCGCGGCCCGTACAGCCCGCGCGCGGCCCGTACGGCCTGCGCCAGGCCCGCGCGCGGCCCGTACGGGCTGCGCCAGGCCCGCGCGCGGCCCGTACGGGCTGCGCCAGGCCCGCGCGCGGCCCGGGCAGCCCGCGCGCGGTTTCGTTCGACCTGCGCACGCCGTCCCCCGAGCTGCTGACCGCGCCCCACCCCTGCTGCTGCCCGCGCTCCTGTTTTAGGGTTTGGGGGTGGCGAGTGTGGGGGTGATAGGTGTGTGCGCCGTCCCCTGCTCCTCCTCCTCCTCCGGCTCCCACTGCTGCAGCTGCCGCTGAGGGGGGTGGGTGTGTTGGAGCCGTCGGAGTGGTACTAGGGGGGTGGCGTGTGAGCAGTGCTAGAGGTACAGCAGAGGGTGTGTGAAAGGGTTTTGGGACAGCTGGAGGAAGTTGAGTGGAGGCAATCGTCTTGTCGTCCGCAGCGCCTGAAGTCCAGAGAGCCACGACCCCCTGTGGCCTGAGTAGTCCGGGGCTCTGCGCCCGGTAGCCACAGTGTGAGCACTCCTGGTAGTCCAGAGAGCCACGACCCGCTGTGGCCTGAGTAGTCCGGGGCTCTGCGCCCGGTAGCCACAGTGTGAGCACTCCTGGGAGCACAGCGAGCCAGCTGCGCCTGTCGCCGTGTAGTCCGGGTTTAGCCTGGTAGCGTCAGTGCTGCGCACTCCTGGTGCCCGTGTGTCTGCAGCTTCAGCCGTCGCCTCCCATCTTCTCGCCCCCACAGTTTTTCCTCCTCCTCACTTGCCCTCTGTGATAGTCTCTAGCTTTGCGTATTATTGTGAACTATTGCTATGCCTGCTTGTTGTGCTGATTATACCCCACTTTGACTATGGGGGTGTGTCAGAATGTTATGTTTGTCTAGCCTGCAGTGGGATACTCTATAGTGAGTACAACCCAAACTAGGGTTTCCTATATGTATCCTACCTACTAATAGTGAAACCCCTCTTTGCCTATTTCTCGTTTTCGCCTACTATCTTGACACTACATTCGTTTTGACGCCTCAGAGTGCACCCCTCTTTCTAGTCTGGCTGTCAGAGTTGCCTATTTTTTTTAGTCTGAAATTTCAGAGCACAAGCATCTCAACGTTGATCTTACAGACTACCGTATTCCCCCGGATATACCACCCTAGGGTGCTATGATAACTACATCAAAAAAAAGGGGGGGAGGTCTTGTCATCGGAAAAAGCTACATTGCACCCGGGTCTTTACATAATGTATATTTTTTTTATAGCGTAAAACGTTTAGTACTAAATGTACATCTGTGCGGTGGTGGTAGATCGCTGGTTGGGTGCGCAAAACCGAGGACTGGGCGATAACGTTTTGCGCGAGGGTTAGCTGCCACATTGCAAGCTCCAACAAGGCCCACTGTCAGGCCCTGATTGGACGAAATCACACCCCCTCGTCGCACGACGAGGATTCATGCAGGTGACAATGGCGGAGTCCCCGCAACAGCCTCGGTTGCCTCGCTGGGCGGGCACGTCATTGAACTGTAGATGGATTATCATTGGAAACCCTGTGCTACTTAGGCAAAAACTGCAATTATACCCGTACATAACACCCCCCCCCCCGGGTGCTATATAGGATGCCCCCAAAAGGGGGGGTATAGTAGAAACGAGGCCCGCTATAGCACCCCCCCCGCACAAGCCACCCGGGGGGTGCTCTATTTCGGGGGGTGGTATGTCCGGGGGAATACGGTAGTATTGAAATTATTCTCTGATATGAAAACACCTGTGGTGAACTGTTTTTACATGTCTGCATTAGAGTCTGTCAGAAATTCTACAAGAGCATGTTCTACTACTGGCTCATTTACAGGCTCCTTCCCAGCCCTTGGGGGCTCCTCCCTATGCCTTGCAGCTGGTGCTATGACCGGCCGGCGCTTCTTGTAGCTGCGCCAAATCTCTACTACTCCTGGGACGTCCAGCTCATAGTCTAGCATTGAAATACAAAGCAGATCACTCAGCCTGCAATCCTTTATACCGTAAAGTGCCACCTATAGGACCCGCCGGTAAGAGGGTCCCCGGTGTCAAATGTTGTAGCCTATAGTGAGGTTTGTCTTAGGGGGTACAAAACTTAGGGTTAGCTATATGTACCCCAACCAACATCAATGCATCATCCATTCTTCATTCTGACATGGTATCAGTTAGGTTAGGATCCTGTGGGATCCCGTTCCGCCGTTCTCCGTTCGTACCACCCGAGCCTGATCCTAGCTCTCGTTCGTCTCCTTCTCGTTGTTACCGAGCCTAGCGCCGAGCCACGCTCTCGTTCGTATCGTTCCAGCTGTTACCGAGCCTAGCATCGAGCCACGCTCTCGTTCGTAGCGTAGCCCGCCCCCCCGTCGCGTCGCCTTCCCCCCTACTCGAGTCGCGCCCGTCCCTTTCCCCCTGTCGCGTCGCGCTCCCCCCGTCGCGTCGCGTCCGCTCCTTCCCCCCGTCGCGTCGCCTTCCCCCTGTCCCGTCGCGCCCCCCCTTTCCCCCCGTCGCGTCGCCCTCCCCCTGTCCCGTCGCGCCCGCCCCTTTCCCCCCGTCGCGTCGCCCTCCCCCTGTCCCGTCGCTCCCGCCCTCTCCCCCCGTCGCGTCGCCCGTCCCCGCAGCGCCCGCCACTGTCGCTCGCGACCGCGCTCGTCGCCGCCGCGCCTGCCGCCGTCGCCCGCCCCCTGCGCGCCTCGCCGCGGCCCCGCCGTCGTCGCCCGCCGCTGCGCGCGTCGCCGCTGCGCCCCCTGCCGTCGCCCGCTGCGCGCGCTGCTGGCCCCTGCTGCCGAGCGCGCTGCCGTCGCCCGCCGCTGCGCCCGTTCCCGTTCCCCGCTGCTTAGTCCCCTGTTACCTCCCGCTGTCACGCCCGCTGTGGCGTCCGCTCCTCCCCTGTCCCAGAGTACCGCCGAACCCTAATTTGCCTCTCACCTACTGCTGTCCCCTCCCTCTCCGTTCGCGTTCGTTTTCACTATGGCGACTCAGCGTGTCCTTCGTTTCGACGCTGACGGTAGACCTCTTGATTTTTCCGTCTGGCTTCTTCGTGCTCGCCGTCTGTTAGAGAGTCAGGTCCAGGCAGGCGAGACCCTCTGGGCGCACGCTACTGGTGCCCTACCTGCGCCCCCCGACCCTACGCCTTTAGGACCTGCCCCTGACGACGCCGCTAGAGCCCGCTTTGCCACTCAGCGAGCTGACCAGACGGCTTGGACGTCGCGTGACGCTGCGGCCTGCATCGCGCTCAGCAGCCTCCTCCCTGAGTCTGAGGAGGTTCACTTCACTCAGGTTCGCACCGCTGCTGAGTACCTCACTGCGATTAAGGCCCGCTACTCTACTCCCGCTACTGTCTCTCTTGGCCGCCTGTTCCTCCCGTTCCTGTTTCCTGACCTAGCGTCTTTTGAGCGCTCTGCTGACTTGATCGCTTACCTCCTCTCGCTCGACGCTAGTTACCGCGCTGCTTGCACTGAGGCACAGCTTGCACTGCTTCCTCCCCCTATGGCGATTACTATCTATTTCATCGCCACTAGCCTCCCTGACCGCCTTGCCTCCGTTCGCGACGCGCTTCTGCTGAAGCACCCTAGTGAGCTCACCGTCGAGGTCCTTGAGTCTTCACTCAAGGACGTCGAGAGCAACCTTCGCTCGGTAGCCGCTGCCTCTGGTGCTGTGCCCCCCCCACTCTTCCACGGGTGCACAGTCCCGCAGTTACCCACCTTTACTGCCTCACTTGCCACTGCCGCTACTGACGCGACTGCAGCTGCTGTTACGACTGCGTCGTGCTCCCGTGGTAGGGGTGGCAAGAAAGGCGGTTCTGGTGGTGGTAGTGGAGGTGGAGGCGGAGGTAGTGGAGGTGGCGTTGCGCCTGGCGGCGGTGGAGGTTCAGGGCCTGGAGAGGCGCCTCGTGCAGTGACTGGTGACTCCACTGCGCCTGCTGGTGGTGGCGACGCCCGAGTTCGTCAGTCGCCTCCTGTACTTCCTGCCCCGGTTGGTGGAGCAGCGGCGTGGTACCAGGCTCAGCGTCAGCAGCAGCTTCTGCAGCACCAGCAGCCCCTCTCCTCCCAGCAGCCTCAGCCGCAGCAGCGGCAGCAGCTGGCTCCAGGGTCGGGGCTGCGTCAGACCCAGCGCGGTGCTGCTTACACTCCCTGCACCTACCAGGTT